GCGGCGGCGGCGGCGGAGGCGGTGAGCGCGGGCGCGGACGGCTGCGCCTGGGGCGGCGCGGGTGCAACCGCCGTTGGACCGCCGCGGCCACCTCGCCCTCCGCGCCGGGCTCGGGGACGCCGTGCTGGGGAGGCGGGGCGCCGGGTGAGCCCGGCGGGCTGCGCCCTTCGGGTCGGCCGGGCGGGGGCTGAGGCGGCGGGGCCGGGCCTGGGGGAGGGGCGAACCCCGAAAGAGGCTTCCCAGGGCGGTAACCCGCCCTGCCGCGGGAGCCCCCGTCTCTGTTCATTGAACCCCTTTGCTCTCTGAACTCCTTTTCTGCCTGGACCCCACTTCTGCATTCTGAACCCCCATCTCTGCTCCCCGAACCCCTACCTCTGTTCCCTGAAGCCCCTCGTTTGCTGCCTGAACCCCTGTCTCTGCTCCCTGAAGCCCCACCTCTGCTCCCTGAAGCCCCCATCCTCTGCTAACTGGACCCACCCTCTCCTACCGGGGTGAACCCCTCTTTGCACAAACGAACCCCACCCCCACGTCCTTTACTGTCACCGCCAGACCAGCCTTCCCCATTGATGTAATCAACGGTCTGCAGCTGTCCAGTCCTTTCAGGGACACGGCAGCCAAAAGAGCAGTCATTTTCCTCTGATTTTATTTTTTTGCGCTGTGGTCAACTGTTAACTCCCCAAACATGGGAGGGTTGTAAGCTCTGATTGTTTTTAAGCTTTGATTGTTTACAACGCCTCTCCCGCCGACGTTGGAGGCAGGCTGATTTATTCAGGAGCCTTTTAAAAATAATCTAGACAGAGCCTTTGGGAGGGACTTTTGCTGTATTTTATTTATGAAAATCATCCAGGCGTCTCCCTAGGCACTGAGGCCAGTCACTTCTTTTTGGCATTGAGCCCACTCAGTGCAGGATGATGGAATTGAACCATCTCCTTGAGGATCAGCCCCGCTAACCTTTGCCCTTGAGGGTTGTGTCTGCGTTGAAATGGGAAGCAAACAATGTTATAAACCACCGTGCAAATTTTGTTGCAGGGCACATCGCGTCAGACCTTCAAGTACTTTGTTTGTGCCAAATCATTACTGCTTACCACATGAGTCTAAATCATGATGGATGCCAAGTATGTCCTCTGCAGATGGAAAAAGCGATTATGGCCTGCAAAGGTGACAGCCATTCTTCTGTAATTTCAGGAATTAGAAATGACTTTCGGGTGACAAGTAAAATCTTTATCAGGAGATACCTAGGAGCTGCTTCAGCGAAATAATTGAGTCTGAACAGTTGGCGCTCCTCTCGGTTGGCACCGATTCTCCCTCCTTCCCCGTCTAATCGGGTTTTGGTTGAGTGCTTACAAGGTTATGCTTCCGAAAGTGTCTTTTTTTTCCCTCACACTGGGGGAAAAAAAAAACAAATTTAACAGAGTCAGCTATAAAAAGGCACGTAAGGCTGTAACTCAAGGAAATAGCTGGCCGGGAGCCCTGATAGTAAATAACAGGAGTATCTCGGGGAGACTTCCCAGCAGTATAGTGGGAAGAGGGCCAGATAAAACCCTGGTTCTGGTCTGGATCTGCTGCTGCACCTTGTGCCTCGGTTTCCCCGCTTCTGGAGTCCTTTGCTCCTTTAAGAATCTGCTGCTGCATTTGTATTTATGGGTCGCCACGGCTTCTTACATTGTGTTAGCTGTTTGTTGTGTCTTAGTAACAAGGTTTCTTTTTCTTTTTTTTTTCTAATGTAGGTCTTGGCCGGAACTGAGAAGTCAGCCAAAAATAAGAGAAAAAAGGGATTTTTTCTAAACGTTCAGATACTTTCCCTAGACGAAAAGTTAAGTGTTGTGTTTTTGTGATACTATCTTTTTTCCATATGGGATTCCGGATACCACCACTCCCTCCCCAAAAAAGCGAGAGCACTCTTAAGGGCTTCTTATCTTTTTAGTTATAAATGGGGTCAAAATAACCCAAAGAGGAAAACAACTGATTTTATTTCACGGAAGTTTGGAAATTGAAGATGTATACGAGGTACTGATGTCCAGCGACATCAGTACAAAAATGGAACGAATGTAAATTAAACGCGAGGTAAACGCTCGTTGGGGTTCAAGTAGGGCTGTTTCCTTCCCACAGATGTATTTGTGTGTCTTTTTTTCAGAAACTTGTGTGCCAGCCCCCTGAGTTTTGGGATATTTGATGTTTGAGCCTGTGCCTCTCATAAGAAACTGTCGTTTAGCGTTCAGAAGGCAAACGCATGGGTGTGGGGGAAGCACGTTATGTTGTGTTCTTGATCGTCCGTGGTGGAAGGACGTAGATAACCAGGAATGATTAAAATGCCCAGGTCATGTGTGTCTGACGGGAGAATTCCCAATTCTAAATAGAGAATGAAACCAAGTCAGCTCCTGCCCCCTGCCTCCCTGCGTCTCCATCCCTCTTTCTTCAGAGCCGCTCCTAAGCCTGCTTAGTCCACAGCTCACACTTTCCCCAAGGCTGGGAAGGTAATTGAATAGAGTTTGAAAGGAAAGCCCATCCTTTTAAACTGAAACACACCTGCTGGTCTGTAAACCGCTTTTAGTGACATTATCCTCTACCCTGAAAATCTAACAAAGGAGTTATTTGTGCAGTTGAAAGTGGGATTTGCCGCATAAAAGTCAAAATTTGAATTCTTTTTTTTTTTTTTTTTTTGCGGTATGTGGGCCTCTCACTGTTGTGGCCTCTCCCGTTGCGGAGCACAGGCTCTGGACGCGCAGGCTCAGCAGCCATGGCTCACAGGCCCAGGCACTCTGTGGCGTGTGGGATCCTCCCGGACCGGGGCACGAACCCGTGTCCCCTGCATCGGCAGGCGGACTCTCAACCACTGCGCCACCAGGGAAGCCCTGAATTCATTTTTGCTCTTAAATCCAGCCAGCCTTTTCAGTCTTAAAAGGGGAAAAGCAAAAACAAAAAAACATTCACCAGGGTCCTTGCTGCCTCTCACCTGAGGTGCATGAATTCCCAGTTGGCCTTGACTTTTGGTTTGAGTGGAAGGGTGCAAAGGAAGAAAATGAATCTAATTCTTTTGTCGTCGAAAGCAAAACATGTTTGAAAACGTCTTGGTGTCATGGCTGGTGGCGTATAACGGCCATTCCTGTCCCTGCAGAGTTAAGGTGAAAAGCACGGGAGCCCAGATCCTGAAGAAGTCTCACATTGAAGGCATTGCTTCCTCGTTAGGTACGAGCATGTTTTTGAGTGACTGTGTGGTTTTAATTAAGTAAGAGGCAGTTTGGGAGAAGATGGAGACTCAGGTCTGCAAAGCGACCCTGTTCAGGGTTTCCCCTTCATACAAGGGAACGTGATTTCCCTGAGCTGGAGGAGATGGTCTGTTTTCTTCACCCTTTCTAGAATTTGCCCCTCGAGCCTGTCCTGTTCTTGACTCCCAGGATGGCCAGTGGTGGCATCAGGGTCCACAGGCCATATCCGCGGCCCTGCAGGCCATGCAGAAGGGGAGCACCTCCATGAAGAAAGGGGGAGAGGCTTTTCCTCTTTTTACGTGTTTTGCTTATCGCGTAGCAAGAGTGAGGTGCTTCTGTTGCTGGTCTGGCCTCCGCCCAAGGTCTGAGAAGCAGTTGGATGTGTATTTAAATTCTATCGCTGAGCCCAGGGGAGAAAAAAGGGTGTGACTGGCACCAGCCTTACTGCAACGATGTCTGCAGACTGTTGGGGCCGGGTGGGGGTGGGGGGTGGCGCGAGGTGGGCTGGTAGTGGAGCCCAGACTCCGGCCTCCTTGGCGTCTCGTCGTAGGTCAGACAGACTTGGCCTGAGCCCGGCCCAGCTCTGCCCAAGGCGCACACACCGTGGGGGAGACAGACTGGGCACCGGCCTAGGCGCGCCCTTCCGCAGGCCCAGACGCGGAAGCGTTCTCCCCGCTGAGACTGGGAGTGCTTACTTCACGTGCGGAGAGCTTTCTGTTTTGCGTAAAGGTTGCCCAGGGTATCTTCCAGAGGTGACTGTGACGTAGGGTCCATGTTCCTGCGTCTCTGGGG